TAAAAACAAACGAAGGAAAAAAAGGCACATAGCATGGTTGAAGATGGATGGACATCATCCTCTAACAAAAATGAGCCCCCTCCCCCTCCCACAATCAACGGCCTTCATTCACCTCCTCAAAAATTCACTGCTTCTTTCATTCTTCCAACTATATCCAAGCGAATTGCTCAACAATTCACCACATAGGCCATTTTTTGCCAATCTCTTGTGCCTGTAAAACATTTCCCTCCCCACGCATCCTTTTCTACCCCATGCATGTTGATTTCTCCTGATGCTAGTACAATAAGATTTATAGGAACACCTATACCCATCAACAACAACTCCCACTTCACCACCAAAAAACTCAACCATTTCAGAGCACGGGCGCGTATATTCATAAATAGACCGCTTACGCATATAAAACATAAAAATTAATGGCGAATAATTAACAGAGAATGGTAATGTATGGATCAGCATCAAGGTTTTGATCAATGCAGGAAGCATGGTGGCAACCAAGGGATTCGTAAAGTAGAGGGATGCAAGAATTAAAATGTCGGGAGAAGTACATTTGTTGTAGGAGAGTTTGCAACAGTCGCCATGAAATAACTCAAAACAAGGACAGGCCCCTCTCCCTTACTTTCACCCCCAAACTCTGGCATCCATTGCTACAACCTTCTATCTCACTCTGCTCGGACCTTTTGCTTTATACTGCCATCATTTCCATGTCAATTCACACAGTATTCAAAATAAATTATAACTATCCAAATAAACTCCTGATTGATAGATAATGAAAACGTGTTTTAGATTTCAAGCCAGAAAGTAAGAAAACTAAACCGATGCATTTTGTGGAGTTTCTAAAGGCATATTCGTGGTCGTTGACAGCTGGAGAGCCTCTGCAGGACAGGCAAAGTAGGTACGAGAAGTCAATCATCACAGTCCTCGGATCCACCGTTCCGTCCGTGTCCTGCTGCGTCTACTCGGTGGGTTCGGGAAGTTAACTCCTCTGTCGGGCCGCCGCAAAAGCGGTTCAAAAGAAGACGAGTAATTTTGATGCGTGACGGGATGTGAGTGAAGGGAGGTTGAGACACGCAAAAATGTGGAGAAGAGGTTGGAGGAGTGGAAGACGGGAGAGGAGGTTGGAGAAGATTGCGTAGTCGTTCGTTTACTGTGAAGGCGCGATGTAGGGAGTTTAAAATAGATGAAAGACTGCGGGCAGGGTCTTGTTCGATTTTGTTTGTTTGGGCTCGGCGGACTCGGCAAAGGATTAACAAAAAGGCCTGTATTAGGCCCGACCCACCACTCAATAAAGTTTTGATTTAGGAACAAGTTGTCCCGTTTTCGAAAATTATAGAGGCCGGAATAAAAATTAGTGAAAAAGCTAAAAACAAAATTAAAATCCGAGAAAATTATTCTGAATTTACTGATATTTTAGAGCGGCAACTTTTAAAAAAAATTATATTTTACAACCAATGACACTTTATTTATTCGGTAAATTAAGAGCTAACCCAGTCAATGAATTTTTTTTTAAAATATATTATTGTTAGTTTAATATCAAAAGTACATGTATAATTTATATATTTTTTTTCTACTACCATTGTTTTCCCAGACCAAAACCTAGGAACTTGCAATCTCCAAAACACACTTGTAATTGGTTTCATAATCCATTTATAAATTATTATAGAGGAAAAGTTATTAGACCGAATGAACATGATCCATTAAACCACCACTATCACGCACGTAGAACCACCACGGTAAATCACTCATTTTCAACCACCACGTACTAAGCTTTGTCACCGTCCCTCCTTCTGTTCTGACTTTCTTGAACCATGCTTATTGCCATTGAAATCACTCCAAAAGGCCCATTATCACGTCATTAATTCAGATCATCTTCACCCGTACCATACATGTATGTCATTTTAAAAAAACAAAATCATTTTTCATCATGAATCAAGGTAGTTTCTGTTATACATTTTTCTATTGCTTGGGTCTTGTCTTGAAGGGAGATAGGGGGTAGTTGTTATGGAGAGATAGAAGAGTGGAGGTGGAATTTTAGGGAAAGAAAATACTCAAAATAGACGAGGAGATAAAATGTATGAGAAGAGAGAGAAAGGATGAGAAGGGAAGAAAAGGAAAAAGGTATGGATATTTTAGTCTATTCATCCAAATTGATTAGTGTGTAAGATGCGGAAATATGGTGTTGTTGTGGTGGGGATTTCTAAATGTATTAACTTTTTTTTTATTTTTTATTTTTTTAATATTAACATATAAAAATAATTTTAAATTACAAACAATATTAATTTAAAACAGAAAATAATATTTTTTTTAAAATATTTTAAAATACAAAAACAAACCAAACATTATTTTTTAATTACTCATGCAAAATGCCCCCTCCTCGTTTAAAAGTAATCAATCTTGTCTTTCTCCAAACGTGCATTGATTTTGAGTTTTTTGTTTTTAAATAAATAAATCATGAGAGATGTAACGGATTCCTAACATCTTGATTGATTTTTTTTGTTTCTTTATCATCTACTGCCTTTTCAAGATGGGATCGGTTCCCCTGCAGTCTCATGAAGCTCCGTTTTGCTTGAGTTAGAGTTTATTTGAAATTATAATTGTGTTATTTTTTAAAATATATTAAAATAATATTTTTTATTTTAAAAAAATTAATTTTAGTACTATCATATTAAAATTATCTAAAAATATTAATTTAAAAAATTAATATTTTTAAAAATATTTTTTAAAGGTAAAAATAAAGATGGTCTTGGTAACTCAAGATTTAATGCATGATTTTTAATTGTAGTTAATTTATGTTTTTAAAAAATTAAATTTTTTTATTTTTTATTTAAGATTAATATTTTAAAATCATTTTAACATGATAATATTAAAAGTGATTTTTTTAAAATAAAAGTTATTTTAAAAATAACCATTATTATTATTTTAAATACCTCTAAAAACATAAACTGTCACCCCGTTTACCGTTTTTAAACCACTTAATACATAAGCGGTTAAGATAATGTTACAGAATTTCTACCAGTTAAAACTTTGAAAGAACAGGATTATGTTATCATCTCTTTGCTCTCTCAGGTTTAACTTTGAGCCGCCACGACCCCTGCATGTATTTTCTGGAAACACATTAGTCCATCATGATCGAGAAAAACCAAATAAAGGAAAGCTTTTACTGCACTGTTTCATCAACCTTCTTGGTGTACTGATTATTTAATATGTCGCGGGTCAAATAATTGTTTTATTAAAAAATAAATATGTAAATTTTTTTAAAATATTTTTTAATAAAAAAATCATTATCAAGCTGAATAGATACATTAATATAAATTAAATTGTTTATATATATTTAATTAAATAAATTAAAAACTATCTATATTAATAAATACAAACAAATAAAATATTAATATGTTTATTCGATGGATTTCACTTTGTGTCGAGTAATTTTTTTGGCCCAGCATAAAATAATAAATATATATAGATGTTATTAATATATTTTTTAACATTTAAACAAAAGCAATATAGACATGAATTGAAAATTAATGTTTACATGTTATAAAATAAAATGAACATGAAAAAAGTTAACTCGCCAACGTATGCAGAATGAAATTAATTTTTAACATGGTAAAAAATAGGGCAATATTATGAGTGCCATGATATAATTCTCTAAACTGAAAAATATAAAGATATTATCTACACTAACCGAAATAAATTTTAAGATGTATGAATGAATAAAATGAGAAAGGTATTTTATTGTCATTCAAATTCTAAAATAAAAAGATAATTATTTTTATAAAAGTAAAAAAAATATAAACATAATATTCAACACAACTATTCTCTTTGATGTATACCTTTTTAAAAGATTTAAAGGACAATTTTTCTCACCAATAACAAATAAATTTTATTTGTATGGAACATAAAAACAATTATAGGTAAATTAGAGTAATTTATCCGAAACATAAAATACATAAAGAAAAACAATATTTATTTAAAAAATACTAATAGACAATCTAAAAATAAAATATAATAAATATTAATTTAAATATAAATTAAGAGATTATTTAAAAAAAACACGTTCTATAAAAGTATCAGTTAAAAATATAGAAAGAAAAAAAAGAAAGAAAAAGAACAATTGCAATTGGGCCTAGTCTGTTTTGAAAATGATTGGTTGACTTGACTTTGCTAGTTAATGAATTCATAGTCAAATTCATGATTTATATCGTGCTCTAGTATCTAATAACCTTTTATTTATAATTTTTTTTTCTTTCAATTATATACTAGCAAAGTGAGTGGTTATATATATATATATATATAGACAAAATAAAAAAATTATTTTTCTAAAAAAAAAGGGTAACTAGTGGGATTAAAATAAAATCCAAGCTTATTTTTTAAAAAGTTTGATAAAAAAAGACTTTAAAATATAAAAAAGGATGAAATATTGTTTTTTTGAGTTTAAATGATTGAGATTATAATAATTATAAAATTTGACCCATCTTGTCGAATTGACTTATAATGTAACTAAAAACTCAAACTGGACGAGGTTTTAAAAAAACAAAGGAAATAATTGACCCCATACACCTCTTTAGGAATTCAGGTTGATAACTGACCGTATAAAGTTTGGTTTAAATTCCATTTATTTTTTATAAAAATATACAAGATAATATAATTTCACTTCTTTATAAAAAAATAATTTTATTTGCAGTTTTACCAAATTACCGACCAATGTCTAAATTTCATTTGCAGTCTCCAGGAAGTAAAGCCATGTAATTCATAAAAAAAAAAAAAAACCATTCCTACGAAAGAACGCAACCGCAACTGCACATCTCGTTTCCACCCTCTGAATTTTTCAATTTCGCGCTCGCCACGAAAAAAGTGCACGGTCTCCCCCCTTTCCAACTCTCACCCCCAATACTTGGAGCCAAAACACGTTACCACCCAGCTGGTCCCACCGCCACTTCTTTTTTCAAAATTAAGAAAACAAACATAACTCCTAATACAATAAAAACAACCACAAAACTTTAATTTTAATAATCCTTATAATCATGTACCTCTAACTCCTTCTACCCCCCTGAACAATTACACCAGCGTATCTCTCGTGTCCTCCACGCAGCTCCGGTTTCTCTCTGCAGCCTCCACTGGCTTTTAATCCAATTCCGTTTTCCCTGAGAAATTCAATATTCGCTATCTCATATATAAAATTCGAATACTCGAATTCAAAATTTTGTTTCGAATACTCTCCTCGCCTTTTCTTCTTACTGTGCCCTTTCCAACAACAAAAAAAGCGGCAACGAACGTCTGATTTTTTGGTATCTACCTCTTCATTACCTCAATTCGGATTTTAGGGTTTACAGTTTCACTCAAACCATTAAAATCGAATTGAACGATTATTCACTCATTCAAAATTGAAGTGTATCTAGTTCAATTCATATGCATTAGATTCAATTTTTTTTCGTGTCTGACGTGGAATTAGGGTTTCGAATCGAGTTCTCAGACGATGATAATAAAACAATTTATGAAAGGCGAAATGCGGCGGTGCAACATGGGAGACGTCACACTTAACGAACTCGACGAGGAGGAGAATTTTGAATATGAATTGATTCCTAAGAAGCGAAAGTTGAATGGATACAATTCAAATCCAATGGGTATGCATAGTGAATTTGATAATTTTAGCAGTGGTCCAGGTTCTTTTTGCAGCGTAGGATCGTACTGGGTTAATGAGGTTCAGTCTTACTCGAAGAAGAGATTGAAGAACCAGAGCTTGCCGAGCTCTCGAAAGCCGATATCAAGATCTTATCGAGGGCGAGTGCAAATACTTCCTTCGAGGTTTAACGATTCGGTTGCGGATATATGGAAAAACGAGGAATGTAGAATTGATGACACTGATTCGGAAATAGGGGATGATGAATTTGTACATAGCGAGGATTTGTATAGTGAAAAATATAGATATAATAGTAAATTTGGTTTCGGAAGCTCTCATTCCTATCCATTTTATGGCATTGAAGGGGATGGAGAAGTGGGTCAGTTAGGGTGTAGCAATTTTCAGTATAGAAAAGGTAGCAATAAAAAGTTTTTGAGTTCGGGTAATCCATTGATAGAAGACGGAGTTGTGCCAAGATATGGGTATACAGGTTTGGATAAATTGAGAAGAGAAAGAGCTAAAAAAAAGAAGGATGTTTACAGACCAGAGGATTTTGCTTTGGGTGATATAGTTTGGGCTAAATGCGGGAAGAGATACCCATGGTGGCCAGCAGTTGTGATTGATCCCATCCTGAAAGCTCCTGATGCGGTGCTCAGTTGTTGTGTTCCTGGTGCTCTTTGTGTTATGTTTTATGGATACTCTAAAAATGGAACGCAAAGGGTATATTTCTCTTGCCTTTTTTCACGTTTCTCTCACAGGAGTTTCTACTGCTTAGTTCGTTTGGTGCATTTTAAGTTGATGCTTAATGGTAATGTGCAGGACTATGCATGGGTGAAACAGGGGATGATATTCCCTTTTGCTGAATTCATGGACAGGTATGTAGATGATCATCTTCACTTGGTGTTATTATAAGCTCTAGGGCACTTTTTGTTAATTCTCTGTTTCTTCAGATTTCAGGTGCAGACTCAAATGTTCAAGTGCAAGCTGAGTGATTTTCAGGCGGCACTAGAAGAGGCAATTTTAGCAGAAAGTGCAGGCATTGGCAGCATCAGTGCGGAAATACCATATCCCGAAGCTTATCCCACCCGACTCCAGGAAGCTAGCTGTTCAAGTCAGGATCTGGATTTCTACACTCAACAACAGGCAAGTTTCCTTTCTCTCTTCTCTGTCCTTTCTTCCTAATTCTAGTCGATGGTTTTGAAGGATTTCATGCAGCTCTGGGAAATTGTGTAGCATGAGACAAATATAATCTTATATCCCCTACTTGGTCTGCCATGGTTGAGCTTTCTGATATAGAAGGTCATTTGTTTGGTTAGTTTGTTGTTTGTTCTAGCTTCTTGTTTCATTGTCTGTTTGTGATGGAATTTATTATTTCTGAATGCTTATGAACATTGGGAGATCAGATTCATTGTTTAGAGAAGTTTCTGTCATGAATTTTCCTTGCTATAATAACCACATACGTCTGACTATAATCTTAACTGGAAGCATACAGAATGAATAAATATTTGGATGAAAAATATTGTTGAAATTGCAGCTTTTTTATTGCATAAATATTGCATCAATTGTAGCTAAAAATCAAGACTGACAAAATACTGATGAAGATGGAAAGGACTGGGACCAATGTTTTAACAGCTGTGAAAACCATCAAACTGGAATTGCAAATAAGTGAACTCTATGTCATATTATGGTGCAGAAATACGAGCTCTGTCTTCTACTAATTTCATCATCTAATTATTCTCTTCTAAAATGCTGAGACCATAGACTTTGCACATGTCTTGATAGTTTATTTTGTGTTCATTTCATCTTCTACCTTGCATATGCTGTAAGATATACAACCTCCAGTGTTAAGGAATTCTTTTCCTCTCTTCCTGAAACCAAATAATAATGGTTCTGTTTTAATGCAATGAAAGTTTGAAGTTTCTTGGTTCTATTTGTTGGCAGTGGGTTTCTGTTAGCATAAGAAAACACATTCAATTTTTCCTTTGAGCTGTCTATTGACAATCTGTCCTCACACATCTATTGGTGCTATGCAAAATGTTGGGTTATGTACACTCTTCGTTGGCGTGATTAGAAATGTAGTTCTGGGAATTTTATTGAACGACTTAGTTGTTTAAATGTTTGAGAAATAAAATGCTCCTCTGATTAGTGGATTTTGTTTGCACATTTTAATTATCATATGAGTTAATCCTGTCGTGCCAGGTGCTGCAAACTTGTCTGATTCAACCTGCATGACTTACAAAAATTATATTGTTTTTCTGTTTGTATACATTCTATGCTAAAATGCTATTTCTGGTATATATAATGGAACTTTGAATTTGCTCTCTAGATATTTTTTTTCCCCTGGAAACTCTTACTGCTTTTGGATTTTGACTTATAATTTCATCTCCTGAATCAATTGTTCAGGATGCATGCTACAAGGAAATGAGATGCTGTGATGGCTGCAATCTAATATTGCCATGCAAAACTTTGAAGAAAAGGAAAAGATCAACATTTCAAAGTGAAATTTTATGCAAACATTGTGCCAAGGTTCATGAGAAATACCTCCTTTTGATTATTTTTTGTTTGTATAATTATATCCTTTTTAAAATGCTAATTGCATGCCTGTTTTTTACAGTTAAGAAAATCAAAGCAATATTGTGGCATATGCAAGAAGACCTGGCATCATTCAGATGGTGGGAACTGGGTAAGATTATTGATAGTATTTGAATTAGGTTTATACTGTTCTTTTGGTAAAACAATCAAATAAATTTTTGGTATATGTTGGAATTAAAATTTCATGTATCAGGTATGCTGTGATGGCTGTAATGTTTGGGTGCATGCTGAGTGTGACAACATTTCCAGCAAACTTTTCAAGGTGTGTCTACCATATTATAGTCTAATACATTCTGTTATCTCTTATATTAGTTTGTGTTCATTCAAAGGTGGAGGCTAATTGATTTGTTATGGTTTGTAGGATTTGAAGGATATTGATTATTACTGCCCTGACTGCGAAGTAAAGTTTAAATTTGCACAACCAGATTTAGAGAGAAGAAAGCCTCCGGTCAAGTATGCTGCTCACTTTGTTTTTCCTAATTCATATGTGATTTTTAAATCTGACACCACAAATTTATCATGGATTTTTCCCTGGGAAATTTTAATCCCAATGATGTAATTTGAATCAGGTCAATAGGAAACAGCAGACAGGCTGTACCACTAGACAAGGTAACAGTTATCTGCAATGGGATGGAAGGAACATACATTCCAAAACTTCATTTGTAAGCCCTGTAAACTCTGCAAAAATTATGGATTGTAGCCTCTCTTCTCTCTCTTTCATTTTTGGGTTGCTATATATATGTTAAAGGGATGTTGCAAATTGTGACTGTAACAGTTAGTTTGAAGTTCAAATATTGGTATTGTTAAATTAATCTGATTTAGTTGTGTTAATAGGGCAATGCTGTTTAATTTTGTGGTAAACATATATTTGGTGGATTTTGTTTTATTAATCCTTATCTAATATAACAATCTCATCAACTTTTTTCCTTTCCCTTTATTTCCAGAATTGAGTGCAACTGTGGTTCATGTGGGTCACGGAAACAAGCACCAAGTGAATGGGAAAAGCATACTGGGTGTAGAGCTAAAAAGTGGAAGCACAGTGTGAAAATCAAAGACACAATATTACCACTAGCACAATGGGTTTGTACTAGTACTTGTCATTTTTCTTAAGTGGCATGCTAATTTCTAAAGTTGCTATTTTTTAACATGGTACAGGATATGCCATTTACATATATGGTAGTGTGCTCAATTCTGCTCACATTTCTCTAATTCTGGTGCTGATACATTGTTTACTTTATCTAATGCTGTGCTGTTTCTTGAAAGCATTCAAAGAAATTGCTAAGAAAGAGGAGCATATAAAGAACAAAGAAAAAAAGAAGAAGAGGAATAATAGAGAATTGAGTATATCCTTCATTACATAGCCCAAATTTTTGACTAATGGTGGTAGAAATTTAATTTGTTTATTAAGTACCTTGTCAAAGACTAACCTTGAGAACCTTTTTGTGATTTTTGTTGATTACGGAGCAACATCTGAAATGCTAGTTATCTTATAAATGATATACGATGACAGTAAAGTAATTTAGCCGTAAAGTAATTTAGCCCCATAGTTAGTATCATATGGTAACTACCTTAGGATCCTTTCCCGGGCCCACTTTTCTGATTCCACAACAAGCCAGTTTCTTGAATTGACTAGGAAAAACCAGTGTTCCAAGCTTGTACTGCAAATATAATCTCGCTTGTTGTAGGATTTTCTTTTATTTTCTTTCCTTTTTATCCTCTTTGTTGGGGTGAATGAATCTTACATGTCATTATTAAATTTTCCATGAACAATATCTATTGTGCAGATTGCTGAATATAATGCAAGTGTAGATCCTCTAAAGTTAGATAAGCAGATGCTACTTGCTTTGTTGGAAGGTACATATAACTTACTACCTTTTCTTTTGGCATAGTGGGAAGAAGTGGGTGCTTTGCTGGGTTAATTGTGAACAACATGAATTTTTTATTTCCCTTGAACAGAGAAGTATGAACCTATATATGCAAAATGGATATCAGAAAGATGTGCTGTTTGTAGATGGGTTGAAGATTGGGATGATAACAAAATTATGATATGTAACAGGTAATGCCATCACCCATCGATTTCTTTGTGTCTGTTCAGTTTTATTTGGGTGGTCAATGAAATTAAGTGTTGCTTTAAGTTAAAAAGTGAATTGTGTACTCAATTGCCATTGCCTGAGACCTATTTTTCCTTTTTTAAATTTTATTTTCAGGTGTCAAATAGCTGTCCACCAAGAATGCTATGGGGTAAGGAATGTTCAGGATTTTGCTTCATGGGTGTGCAGAGCTTGTGAAATTCCTGATGTTGAGAAGGAGTGCTGCCTTTGCCCTGTAAAAGGCATGTTCTCTTGCATTATGTTTTGATAGATCTTAGTAATTTACCTGTGGTTTGCGAAAGTCATTGAATGACTGAAGTTCTGATTTGGTTAGCTTCTTTCCTTTTCTTGACAAAGAAAGGAAATAAAAACTAATCTGCTGCCGAAAAGTAATTTACTGTCTGACTTTTGGAATTTGGCAGGTTGATTCCAGTACAGAACAAAAAATGAATCTGATTATTGATTATTTGAATCAAGTTTTTTGCACTGCAGCACCAAACTAACAAAGCCATTCATCTAAAACAATATTATTTATATTATTTAGTGACCTTCTTCTGCTTTCATGCTGTAAAGCTCACTGTAATTCAATGCTGGTTTGTTCTTATATTTGAAACCTATTTCTGTAGGTGGTGCTCTCAAGCCAAGTGATATTGAAACACTGTGGGTTCACATCATATGTGCTTGGTTTCGACCTGAAGTTGGTTTCTTGAACCATGAAAAAATGGAACCTGCCACTGGAATTCTTAGAATTCCATCGATGTCGTTTATGAAGGTCTGTTATGATCTGAACAATCAGTTAGAAGTTTCCTGCTCTGGTTTTTTAAAACAAACTTTTCTCACATGCTTAAGAACAGGAATTGTCTACCTTAATTCTGTAGCATATATTTTCACATGTCCAGAATTTAAGAGGATTCTAATTTTGGTAAAGGGGGTGTTATTTCTTTAGTCATTGAAGACCAAGGCTTTTGTATGATATGGTGTTTAAATTGTTTTTCAAGTTTTTTTTCTCCAGATTGATTCTCATTTAATTGCTATGTTGTTATACAAATAAGAGTGCTTATGGTCTAAATCTATTTTCTTGGCATGCCAGAGGTGTGTTGTCTGTAAGCAAACCCATGGTTCATGTGCCCAGTGTTGCAAGTGTGCCACCTATTTTCATGCAACGTGTGCCTCAAGAGCAGGATATTTCATGGAAGTAGGTTTTTCTGAAACTGTTTTTAATACTGGTGAATAAAACTTGTTCTTTTTATTTTCTGTTTTAGTGTCCAGATTCCATATTTTGTACTGTGCTATACCTTTCCTGGTGCTTGTATGTTTCTATATTATTTAGTAAATATTCCTTATGTAGTTTTTAAATTGAAATTTATGAGAATAGACTGCACCGATTGCTTTCGTTGATCATGCACCTTGAACTTTCAGTTGAACTGCACAGAGAAGAATGGTGTGCAAGTCACAGAAAAGCTAATATATTGTGCTGTTCACAGGTTAGAGCTTTTGCCCCCATCTATCATTTGCATCTTCATTTTATCATATTCTTTTTTCTCCTAATTGGAATAGAGAATCTTGTCCATCTTTTTTTTAATTTGGATGTTGTGTCATCTTACCGGTTCTGTTGCAGGAAGCCAAACCCAGATTATGCTGTAGTCGTGCGTACACCTTCGGGAGTTTTCTCTGGCAGAAGTTTGCTTCAGAATCAGAATGGGTGCTTGAGGGGTTCAAGGTTGGTTTCATCTAAGAGAGTGGAGCTTCCAGAACCCTCAACCACAGGGAGTAATGAATTTGAACCTCTCTCTGCTGCAAAGTGCCGTTTTTTTAAAAGAACAAACCATAAGGTGATTTATCTAGGAACCTTTGCTGCTTTTGTTTTGCTTTCCTTTCCACCTCTCCTCTGGATTTTTTTCATCAAGATAGTTTGTTTTTCATTCAGGCCAAGTTTATCTGTCCTTTTTATCTCACAGATATTTTCTCCTGTTTGGCAGTGGTCTGAAGGAGAGCCAATATTCCATCGATTGATGGGACCAAGACATCATCCTTTATGTTCAATTATTAACCTGAGCACCTATAAAGTAATGATCTTGTCTAGGTTGGAAGTTTTTATTTCCTTTAAATAGTTCAACAGAAAAAAACCAAGAGGAAAAAAAATGATTTTGGAACTTCATGATCCATCCTTTTCGTTGTTTTGGTTGGCTAATGTTTCAGTATTTACTTTGTCTTCTTGCAGGAAACTGAAGATTCTACAGTTTTCTCTTCATTTAAAGAACGCCTTTACCATTTACAGGTCCCACCATCCTTCACTCGATAGTTTTTTTCTACTGGATATGATTGTCAAATTCAATTAACATCTATTTATGCCTTCAGAAAACTGAAAATCATCGGGTGTGTTTTGGTAAATCTGGTATACATGGATGGGGCCTCTTTGCCCGCAGAAATATTCAAGAAGGAGAAATGGTACTTGATTTATATGTTTGGTCTGTTTGTTGTGTTTTTAAAGCATCAATTGTTTTGTATGGCTGGACTTTAAAGTAACTCTCGTGTTTAACTTCCCTGGAACTAATGCTTTCTCAATATTAGGTTTGCTTCTTTTCTTGTTTAACAAAACACCTTTCTCCAGGTCATTGAGTATTGTGGAGAGAAGGTAAGGCGGAGTGTTGCTGATCTGAGAGAGGCACGGTACCGTCTAGAAGGCAAGGATTGCTATGTGAGTTTCTTGATTTTATTTGGTCTCTACGCACATGACTGCTCATATTTCTTGGCACAGTTTTTGTTATATTACTTGGAAAATGTAATTGCCAATTTTCCATGAATTTCTTCTTGTATCCTGAAGAACTCAATCTTAGACCCTGCCAAGCTGTTGATAGGCAGATGACCAAGTGGTTGATGATGGGGATGTAGTCTGAATCAACATGTCCCATCTCTTCCAGGTCCATCACAAGGGAAATGAAAGCCAAGAGTTGCATATCTGGTATCAAAGGAGAGCTGTGGGCAAATTGAACTTCTCTGAACTATTTTGAACAAATTATGGAATAACAATATTTAACATAGTTTTGGTGTGTTTAGCACTGGCAGAAGATGCCACAGTTTCCTTTTCCATCATTTTCCTTTTCTTTCTCTTTGGTCTAGTATACAGCTGAACATTTTGTAAAAGGGAAAGAACTGTATCGTTGGTTTTTCTTATGGTTCAACCAACTATTTCTTGCAGCTGTTCAAAATCAGTGAGGAAGTTGTAATTGATGCAACAAATAAGGGGAATATAGCACGATTAATCAATCATTCGGTAAGTGAAGAACCTATATTTCACCTGAAACTGGATCTAAAAATTCCTACCTTTTTTTAGCTTTTGTATTGGTGGCTTTCATGTTTCTGTTTATCAGACATATGCAAGCCCATGTTTATAGAACAGTTCATAGTGAAATGCTTGCACAATCCAGGTAGTCCGCCAGGTACCTGGGAAGTTGGAAGCATGCTTATTTTTAACTCCCATGGTGTTGTCTACTATACCCTTTGAGTTTGAAAAGGAAAATGGATCTTAGCTGTCAGAATTGATGACCATTATGACACTTGCCAAGTTAAAAATTGGTCTTTGGTTTACTTGTTCTTTAAAACCTAGTATATATGATATTGATCGTAGAACCTGAGTTCAGAAGTTCAACTAGGTTTACCTTGGTCAAGTTGTGCAATTTAGTGTCCTGTCTGTGCTTTCTGTTCACGGTCAAAAACAAGTTCTATTTTTATCCTTGTGTGTTACACAATTATTTGTCAAAAGTAGAGGTATTTGTTTTAGTTCTTCATACTACATCTCTTCTTTTACCTTAATATGAAGTGCTCCACTGCTCCTATTGCAGTGTATGCCCAATTGTTATGCAAGGATTATGAGTGTGGGTGATGTGGAGAATCGGATTGTTCTCATTGCCAAGACGAATGTCTCTGCTGGTGACGAGCTAACGTATGCTTTAAAGAATCTCTCTCTTTCTCTCTCTCTCGTCACCGGTCCTGGGATATTTAGATTGGGTAATTAACGTGTGTTTAATTTGTGCATGGGCAGGTATGATTACTTGTTTGATCCAGATGAGCATGATGAGCTGAAAGTTCCTTGCCTCTGTAAAGCTCCTAATTGTCGGAAGTTCATGAATTAAGGCTAGCCATTTTCACTTTCCGATGTACTGCATGAATGCATCAGACTCATTCTAACCTGCAATGAACCTGTAATCTAATTCATTTATTTACTCTGACAACTATCCAATCTTTTGTAGCTATAAAATGTAAATTCACAGGCAGTTTGGCTGGTGGCCTTTCTTTTTCCTCAACAGTTGCTGTTAAATTTTCCGCATTGCAACATTAAAACATTCATTATCTGGTTTCAAGTTTCAACTTCATTTCTCTCTCCTGCAAGGGTTAGATTTGAATCTGATTCCTACACGTGTAATGAGCAAGCATGGTGCTAGCCCATTAGTAATTCATTCAGTATGTTTCCCCCCCCCCCTCATTTGAGGCCAAATGATGAAACAAAATGAAAGCAAGGGTAGGTGCTATTAGCATGGAAATGAGGCGTATTTTAATGGAAGTGTGGTGGCGAACCAAATCTAAAGAAATCTGATTATTGCGATTTAGGGTTGTAACGATGACCCCAATAGCTCATGCCACCCTGTAGAATCATTGGCGGTGTCACCGCGGCTAGTGGAACGGGTGGTGTTTTTGTTTGGAAATGTGATTGTTTTTTAAATGATTTTTATATTAAAATATATATTAATGATTTTTTATTTTTAAAAAATTATTTTTCATATTAATAGATTAAAATAATTTGAAAAAATTAAAAATATATTAATTTGAAGTAAATAAAAATATAAAAAATTTTAGTTTTTTTTAAATATTTTTAAAATATAAAAATAAACAGAACATAATCATAAACATGCAAGTTTACTGGAAATAGATGATTACAGACCTAACGGATTCTGCATGTCTAGCAAATGACACTGGCTTCTAAGAACCCAGGTTGAGCCCAAAAAAATCTAATGCTCATGCCCTCGATTGAAATACAAACAAATGTACATATGGTTCTGTAGCCGAAATTTCTCTTACGAGAAGAAAGAGGCTCCACAGCCCATGACATTGACTAGACGTTTCCGAGTAACAATAAAATAAGAAATAGGATATTAATCTTATATATAATTTTTTAAAATAATATAAAAAATCAAGGTTTTTTTTTTTGTAAGTGTATTCTGTAAAATAATTATATAAAATTAATTCTACTGAAGAAACAGTAAAAAAAAAGAAAAGAAAAAAGAAAGGTGGTGTTTGCAATCCATGGGCTTAAAATAGACCCACATTTAAATGGGCCGATATAGTAGGGGCCCATCAGCAAACAATTCAAAGTTCAAATTTATTTTTAAAATGTCAAAAAATGGTTAGTTACTCAATTTCAAGTCGTGAGAAGTTCGCGCGTCTATAATAAATAGAACAAACAGTAAGAGCCATTTCTACTCAGCCATTTCAATGGAAGAAGAGAGCTCACCGAGAAATATTGAGAAAATGAAAATGAGAAAGAGATTGAGAAGAGAATCTACGATTTGCAGTTGCAAATCTCCTCGTCTAGAAAACCAAAACTCTCGTTGCTCAATCAAGGGGTACTCTCTCTCTCTCTCTCTCTCTCTCTCTCAGAGTTCAAATTTCAGCTTCATTTTCGAACACGGATTTGTTTGCTTCCTACTGTATTAACTCTGAGAAATTAGGTCAATACTAATGAAATCTTGATTTTATTTTTATTTTGAAGTTATTTTTCGAATTTTACTGTGATATTGATTTATAGCCGATTTGAGATGCGTTTGATATTTTGAAGTAGCTTTGAAATTTGAGTTTGAAGTAGTAAGTGACTTTGCTTCCTTTTATTTTTTATTTTTATGAAATAATGAAAGAGTAATTATGCTTAAAATCAAGTGTATGATACTTTAAATTTGAAATACTTCTTGTTTGCTAAATCGCAGAATTTGCTGATTCTGTTTTAAGAACGAAAATCAATAGTTGTAGAAATTATAGAATCTGAACTGCATTTTCTTCTTTAAATCGAACTATATTTCTGTTTTCATTGTTTTCTTGGATCTTTCTAAGCTAAGTGCTGTTTATTTGGATTCTTAGCCACTGTTTGGCAGCTGAGAAAATGAAAATGAAGTTTGAATTTCGTTTTTCCTTTCTAGTTGTTAAGGAAATAAAAGTCTAACACGTAACTCAAGAATTTGAAGGTTTCGAAATTAAAGACCGGATTTAAGTTTTCGTGAAAAAACATTTCTCGCAATTACTTATTTTGTTTTGATCTTCAATTGAGAAAGGTATGAAGTGGATCTATGGACAGAGGTAGCTAAGTTTTTGGACGGGAAGTCTCTGGTGAAGCTGGCTACGACTTGCCGATGGTTCCACAGCGTCATCATGCATGACAGCGTATGGAAGTTTGCTTGTTTGCGTGATCTTCAAGTCCCAGCCCCATGCCATGTGGCATTCAAGTGGATCAAGCTCTATGGTTCACTAGCTGGTAATTATCAGACCCCTTAGTCGTTCAGCATTTTTTATTTGGTTAGAATTATTGAACAGTGTGCTAGCATTTGATTGGTGATGGACTGGTTTGCAGATGGGAGTCACTCGTACAAGTTCCGTGACAATGAGAAGCACATTGGTAAATTTTTTCTCACTTCCTTTGGTTGGTCTTTTAGCTGTTCATGTGGGGTATTTCCAATCACTTGAAGGACCGTTTTCTTAAAAGATTAAATAGTCTCTTTGAGCTCAAAATACGTGGTAATGGTTTAAATTTACAAGCTAATGCTTACTTCAGTATGAGCTCCTAATTTGTTAGTCAAACAAGGAAGTATACCACTCTTTCGCTTTTTTATCAACTTATGGGCCATTGTAATTCACTGTATGAAATGTTCCATTCAACTCTCTCAGAGTAGTGTGCTTATATTCTGATGAGGCTGCCGAATACTTTCTAAAGAATATGGTATTCTCAAGGATGCAATAAGATGGAAGATGCAAGAGATTGAGACCTGGAAAACAAGTTGTTTTCTAGGTTAGGAGACCGTACAAAACTATGTTAACATGAATGATGGAGAAAAATATTCTTTACAGACTATGTTGTGTGTATTTGCAAAGCAAAATTTAAAAGATACAAATAAAAAGTCATTTTATGAAGAAGAAGAAGAAGAAGAAGATGACTTACTTTGGGGTTTAAGGGTGGATGTGTCCGTGTAAGGGTAGGATGTTAAATTTACGTAACACCTCCAGTTCTAAATTATTTGGGGACAAAGACCCAGAGTGAAATTGACCCTCGGCAAAAGCTGTCCTAGTTCTGGATTTGTGCTTTTGGGTACAGTAATCGAATCCTCCTCGTTTGGGATTTGCTTTAAATGAAGTCTTAGTAAGCCCCTTCTCTAGAGGTGGTGTCTTACCTTGTAGACACTCCGGTCTAATTTGATAATAGTGGAGCAGTGGGCACTTGATATGCCAGAGCTCTATTTGGGCGTTAAGCACCTAGGTGAACTTCAAGATCCATCATAGTTTTAGACTTAGGTTGTATCTGGGCCTAATTTCGAGCATTGGGACATGAGCTTAAAGTGTAAACTCCGGTTCATCGTATCTGCTGTCACCTTTGTAATGTACATAATATATACGAGTTCTTTTTAATTGGGACTCAATTGAACATAAAAAAGTACATTATAATTGCATCAGTAGACTTAAAACCTTATTCACGGTATGCTGTTCTTTTATGGGACAATCAGATTGGATGAGGATTGGCGCATTTTTCTTTGACTCCCAAGTAGCACTCTTGTCCGAGACGCTCAGCTTGCCATTGAAAATAATTAACAAAGACAATGTGGAGAAGGCTCTGGAATCCAGTGGAGCTTGTGTGCTAAGTAACATAAAAAAAGGGATCTGGATAGCAGGTAACTTTAATTCGATTCTTTCACCCTACCAGTGTTCGTTCTGAACACATTTTTGTCAGGAAAGATATAACAAATTCTGGATGACAAGCCAGCTAACTTTGCATGACAAAATTGCCGATGTCTTCAGATCTCCAGCTTGTTCGATGCCCTGTTTGTGAACTTGATACATGTGAGGGTGAGTTCAAATTACTCTACTGGCTAGCTACAAGAGTTCCAAAATATGATTGTACTTCAAGAATCATTCGGTAAATGTAGCATGTTATTTGGTGTAGATGTTCATCTACTCGACTTGAATCACAAGCCTACTGTGCAGAACCATTAACAAAATGACTGAATTTTGGACTAAAAAAGTGCCATGCCTGTCTGTTGCATTTATTTACCTTGTTGTAACCAAAGAGGGTATTCAATACTTGAAGAAAAAGTGCTCTTCTATACAGGAACAATGCAGACACTAGAAGTAAGGAATATGGATCTGTTTCTGTGTGACGGATACCAGAATGCGAGCTGGGACTATGAGCTGATTGGATCCTATAAAATCAACAAGTCTGTAGATGCAGCTTCTGGTGGCATTTTTGATCTCAAACACATCAAGGACCGCGCAATGGCTGGTAATACTTCAATTGTAATAAAATGGAATTCTTTCTTCGAGCTTTCCCTTGTCAACATTTTGCTATCCATTTGGGTTCTGTTTTTAGTGAAATCTTATCAAGTAGAGGTTAACTGGTGCTTGCATTTTTAAAATATAGGATTGGCCACACCACTTGTTCTGGCTTCTTATTTGAAATTTGGCTTCCAACTTGAGCATTATCAGCCTAGAGGTTCATGGTTCTTGATATGATGTACATATACTAAATTGGAATTGGCAGGTGTGTTCAATCTCAAGTCATGGGCAGGAAAACCCAGTGATATGCAGCCAAAGGCCATGATCACTTTCCATTCAGTTGCAATCCGCACCAATTTACAAGAAAATCAAGGTGAGGCTTCCCAAGCTGTATATAATTAGAACTTCCATAATCTTGCCCTTGTACAGGTTGTTGTCAGCCATGACAACAATCGCAATCACTTCAATTACATCCCTGCGTCTGTTCTATCTGATTTTGAGGATTCACACAAACAGAACTGCTAATTTCTTGCTATTTCCTTGGGTCTATCGATCCCTGTTTCTCTGGGGAAGCAGGGCTTCTTACGAAGTACTACACGATGAGAGCTGGACCTGAAGGAGAAGTAGTTTCAATTAGAATCTCCCAGCAGCTTGCTTAGTCCAGTTCCAGTCACGCATATCTTATACGCCAAAATCTTGCGTTCTTCTCCACAGCAACAGCAATGCATTTTCAATGCTGTCATTCAAATACATAGTTGACCAAGCGAAATGGATTTGGTGTAGATTCGTTGGTTTTTCATTTGCACTCGGTTGCTGCTTCAATGGGACAATCTACTAGATAACGGCCTTCCGGCTGCCTTGTAATCTTGATTGTTAATTTTCTGAAGTTTTGCAATGACCGAATGTTCATAAAAGTAAAAAATAAAATAAAGAAATCTATATATTTGGGTGGAACGCTCAGGTTACAAGCTAAATTCAACTTTAATTTATACACGCATGTAAAGTCAATGCATAAAACTCACTTTCGTTTTCTGACCACCCAGTGTGTGTTAGTTAAGCGGTGGATGGGTTTGTAAGCATAATTTAGAAAGCCTTTATTTTTGGATTTTAAAAGTATTTTTAATATATTAATATTAAAAATAATTTTTTTAAAATAAAAAATTTATTTTAATACATTTCCAAATAAAAACAGTAACCCCCGGTATTCTTCCTTTTAACAGTTTCCAACTCTGGACTTAATTAAGAGACGATGGATGGGGTGCGCATAGCCCCATACGGTCAAGATTTTTATAAGGAAACTAAAGGCTCCTTCGTTAACACTGGCCATAAGCAGTTGACTTATAGGCTAAAGCTAGAGTATATACTTGAAAATTGCCCTCTCGCATGCCTGTGCTCCTTGTCATGTGATTGACTTAGAAATGTTTATTTTAGTGTCGACTTGAATGAAGAAAAATCCTAGCATAGTACTATAAGAAGGCCTACCTTTTCTTGAATCAGGTGCTTCCAACGCCATGGGCATCTTAGAAGTTCTCTTTCTTATCAACCTCCTTCGTTTTATGAATGCAGCAGCAGATTGCTCGATCTCCGCGTGCGGCATCGACGACGTCCCCGTTAGATTCCCTTTCCGACTACAAGGCAATCAACCCCGAAACTGTGGTTACCCTGGTTTCGATCTAAGTTGCAATAATCGGAGGGCGACAGTTCTTAAACTTCCTCATTCTGGGGACTTTCTCGTGCGTGACATCGATTATCGCACTCAACACATAGAGCTTTACGACGAGGATAATTGCCTTCCTAAACGCCTTCTGCAGCTCAATCTCTCAGGTTCTTCTTTCTTTGCTGTTTTTCATCGGAACTACACCTTTCTAAGCTGTCCGACTCAGTTCGTAATGTCTCGCTTCCCTATCATCGATTGCCTTAGCAACTCAACAATTTCAGTTTTAGCTACCTCTTCCACCCTCCTTGTGACACTATTGTCCTCATTATGTGATGTTATCGGTACACTGCTAATTCCAGTTTCAACGCCAGTACAATACAATGAAGGGTTCTCATCTAAGCTCAGCGAGGATCTTCTATTAACTTGGTTTTCTCCTGATTGTCACCAATGCGAAACACATGGCGGCACATGTGGTTTCCATGGAAATGCTAGTCAAGAAATCCTTTGCTATAACAATTCTCATAGAGGTAATATTTCGTATCTTTTTATTTTCTTCTATTTGTCATCTTCATCACCATCTTTACTTGCAAATTAGGAAAAGGAAAGAGGGGAAAGGAGCTCATAGAAACTGTCTGACTGGATCAACATATTGTTCGGGTAGCTAATGGTAATTGAGGAACAAAAGACATCAGGAAATTCTTAATTTGGTATGGGTCGGTGGACTTTGTAAAGTAATGCATGACATAGGAATCGTGTAGTAGAGGGGTAGAGGAATTGACTTGACTAGATAACTAAATATTAAACTAACATCATTAGCTAAGCTATAAAAAAGATGAAGAAGAATATGTCAGGTGGGATAATCATTTCCAGTTATAATATGGTTCTCTCCCACCTTGGCATCATTCAGTTTTCTAAGCATTACCATTCGCACAAGCCAAAAGTCGAATTCTAAATGAACTTGTTTCAGCTCTTCAGTCCCCATCATTTCTAATTCACCAACCTATGTTCAGTCAAACAGGCCACGATTATGTATCATCACTATAAACCTTCCATTCAATTTCCCCTTTTGCATTTATTGGTGGAATTAGGTGCGATGACCAGATCTGGTTCAACAGGCATATTTGTTGTTTGGTGATTTCTGGCCAGTCATTTGAGGAGAGTAACGTATGCCAGGAAAGTTATTTTACTGGACAAAACGAGACTCTAGGATCTTAAAAAAAAATTCTAAATTGAGAGCATCAATGATCCGGATCAAATATTGACAGCATGTCGTTTCAGGCAATAGTCGCCAAGTTGGGATCCTTTTCGTGTCGATTGGAATACCCCTTCTTGTATGTGCATGTGGTATTTCTGCATACCTAATGATCTGGCATGCTCGACGAAATACGGTATCTAACACGCAGAGGAACACCGCAACAGCAACAGTATCACCGCAACCTGCCATCCCGGTGATGGGTCTTGATGAGTCCACCATTGAATCATTTGACAAGCTGGTCCTTGGGGAAAGTAAGCGTCTACCTGGTCCCAATGGTAGCACCTGTGCTATATGCTTATCGGAATATAACAGAAAAGAAACACTGAGAATGATACCAGAATGCAAGCACTGCTTCCATGCAGACTGCGTTGATGAATGGCTACGGATGAACGGTACCTGTCCAGTTTGCCGGAAATCACCATCCCCTGCTCATGTTACATCATCAAGCATTTCACATTAAGACATTTCCGGAAGTTTTGCTCGTAGGATCCCCCACCACCAGCAGATACACACCGGCACATGCACTGCTTCTTGTTTGTACAAATTGGTTTTTCAACACTGTTTCTTATTTGCATAGGAGAAGTTAAATGCTTGACAAACGACATGAGGATTAGTTTTTCAACAGAATTTCGATGACTTGAATCCATTATCCTTATACTTTACTAAACCTGCAGCCAAAAATGTAGGTGGATGGGGCTCTGGTTAATAAAACCACATTGTTCTTAACCAACAGCATCAGTTATTTCTTTTTAGCTAATTTCACCAAAGCCATCCTACAAGAGCGAGGTATCTGCATAAACTATATGATGTCAACGCAAGAATGTTCTTTAATTGTGCATGATTCCTGGCAGACCTTGACTGGAAAATGTCCTATCCACCATGATTACATCCTGAACACTGTTGATTGAAGGTCTGTCCTGCTGTACAAGATTGACAATTCGGCATAGGCTCCCCATGTCTCCCAAAAGAAGTTGCAAAGAAACGGAAACCCGGTGTTAAGCCAGATAAGATAGAGTGACAGAAGGAAACCCTTTCAGGTCCATCTTTAATATAGCATCACCGTATGCATAGGTTTCGCTTTTCTCAACCACTTGAGAAAAATTCTCCAATACAAGAAAATTTCATGTCGATCTAAGCTTGCTAAAATACTCGTAGTTGCTCACTTAAAATCAAATTTTAAAATTGAGAATCCAGTTTTACTTGAGCACCACAATTCAAACTCCGTAAGAATTTCGGCATGACTCGCCAAGGAACCATTCTGGCCACGCCACAAAAATAGAAATCTAACAGAACTCATTGACACAAAGCAAAAATTGATTGGACATTTGATGATTGCTTATGAGGAATGAAAGGAATTGAGGAATATATTTACAAGGAAGTAGGTGATCGTGGATTTTGGACCGCTGATGATGGAAGGTAGAGCTAGTTGTGTTTCAATGACAAATTGATTAAGGCCCTTTTTAAGTGTTATTGTGCTGTTTGATGCTGTGCTATGATGTTTACAAATATTTAAAATAGGTAAAGAATTAAATCTCTTAGCCAAATTACCGTACACATATGGAAATTACCATTAATTAGAATATTATAACGATGGATTTTGCCTTCCATCAAAAAACCTTTAAACTGAAGACAATATGAATTTTTTTGAAAAAATTATTAGTTATTATCAAATTATTAAATTAACTGGCCTATAATTTTTTTTACCTTTAATTTTTTTATTAGTATAATCAAGTTGATTTAAAAATAAATTAATAAATTAAAATATAATTAAACAAATAATTGACGTGTACATTACATACATCATTGTAAAGGTTGCTTCTGCTATTTTCAAGCAGAGCATGTGTGGTATTACAAAGGCCAAATGATGACCTTTGAGATAACATCCGAATCATTTTCATGGTCCCTCCATTCCTGAGCGATGGAGATAGCCAACAGACTTTCGGTTTAGTATTGACAATTTTTTTTTCTCCTAAATTTTTATATTTAGCTTTTTAAATTTTCAAATCAATCATTCAATTTATTTTTTCTTCATATTTCATCCTTATTTTTTTATTTGAATTAATATATAAAATTTGAATTTTTTTCAATTTCATTCTCTAAACTTTTTCATCTATTAGATTTAATTCATATTTTTTTATTATTATTTGTATTTACTGAGATAGCTTTTAGAATTTTTTTTTTTTTATGATTTCATCCTTCATCAGTTTTTTTTACTATCATATTTTATTATCATTATTTTGATTGCTATTTTTTTACTTTGATAAATCTTTTAAATTAATATATTTTTTTCGATTTCATCTTTCAATTTTTTTCATTTATCAGATTTGATTTATATTCTTTAGATTGCTATTTGTTTTTATTTCAAATAGTTTATAGAATTGAATTTTTTTTATGATTTCATCCTCCAATTTTTTTTACTTCATATTTGATCATTATTTTTTTATTCTTATTTTTTTTACTTTGATAAATTTTTTAAATTGATATCTTTTTTTTAATTTAATCCACCTTCAGTTTTTTTTACTATTATATTTGATCATTGTTCTTTTGATTGCTATTTTCTTTTACTTAGATAATGTTTTTGAATTGATATATTTTTTTAATTTTATCTTTCAATATTAAATTGATTGAGAATTAAACTTTTTAATTAAGTTTAGGTTTATATTTTCATAGCTGTGAATTTAGGAAATTGACCTAGGTTTAGGAGATTTATTCGGGTATTTTTTTTTTAAGCTTATATTTTTTCTATTTCATCCTTCAAGATTTATTAATTGAGAATTGAGTTCAATTATTTTTTATTTGTTTTTATTGGATTTTTCATTGGTTATGAAAATGACTTGAGTTATCTCAAATCTTTTTATTGGTTTTTCTTTGTTAAATTTAACTTTTTAAAAAGAAATTTTTTTAATTAAATAAAATTAATTTATTAAATATAAGTATGAGATACTCATTTTATTATATTTTGTTTAGTTTGCTTTAGGCCTATAACTCTTACATCATATACATCCATAACCTTTCGCAATGATAATAGAATCATTTTGGGGAGTTTTTTTTAATAACCATGTGATGTCCGTGGCAAAACAATGATAAATCTTTAACAAGCTTTTTTTTTTTTTTCAAATATTTATTAACAACTCATTTTTTAATAGTTAATTATTGTCAAAAATATTTTTTTTATTTATTATTACTATCTTTTTTATCATATTATTAAACTATATAAGTTTATGAGCTCGTTTTATTTAATAACCTAAGTCTCATATCTTTTTTATTTTTTTTAAATGCTAACATTATTTGAATATATTTTTTCATTATGAATTTTTTTCTAGTATATTTATTATAATTTTAGAATTTATTAAATTCAATTAAGTCAATAGTCTAAGAATGAGATTTTATTTCTTTTTTAAATCACTTGCATTGCCTTAAATATTTTTTTTTACATTGAAAAAAAATTAGATCAACTCATGCCACCCACATGATCTTTGACTAATTTTTATTATTATGTATGATAGCATATTACAATATCTTAATAAAAATATTTTATTTATATTGAAGTGATTCATAAACATTTTATAACTCTATGATTGCCTACAGAGTCCAATTATCATCCAGGGCCCTACGAAGCATCCGAACCTCGATTCAGCTAGCGGTCAGCCGACAGTAAGAAGCAAACCTCAAAATTATGGTAACTCTATCATGCAGGGTTAAAATTCAACTACGGTAATCCATTTAAATTAGAAAATGCTAAAAAGCAATCTCAGCATGCAGTTAGAATATAAATATTCGTCATTCTTCAACAAGCAAGCTCAGGCATTTACGCAGTGGCTACAAGTAATAAATATAACTAATAAAATGTACGGAACTCAAAACTATACATTTGAAAGGCACGAATTCCCCTACCATACTACCGAATCAGATGAATCATCGCGGGAAGACTCATTTCTTAGCAAGTAGTTTTTTGGGAAGCTTCTCCAATGGAGTAGATTTCAAGAGGAAAAGCCTTGCAGCACGCTCTTGTAATGTACCCCCACACTTAAGCCCACGGACCTGCAGTTCGGTCTTCAACCTTTCCATGCCAAGCACCTATTAAAGTAAAAGGGGAAGATGGCCAAAGAGAGTGTTAGGTGGTTGCAGATATTGAGCTTAATTAACTACACGTGCATTAGAATATTGACACCAACGCAACACAGACATCCCATTTTATATCATAAATTCATGTTTGCAAAGTATTGAGTCTATAATTGTATTAACAATAGAACCATTGATTGCAAAACTCTTTCGCCTATTATTTATTTAACTTTTTTTTATGCCTTTCAATGGTTGCTGGAAGAAACAGAAATACAGCTCAAGTTACATATCTCCAACTACCTTTCTAATTAAAGCAGTGACAAATCTTATTGATAACTTCTATTAGTTGTTTGATCAGGAAAACCATCCAGATCCATAATTTCAAATTTGGAACACCCACCCTATCCCAGTAGTTGCAAGAGCCATGCATAAACATAGGTATTCTACTAAGGCAGATAGAAAAATTGAAAGTGGACCAAGCAGCTGACCTCTATACCAACCTTCCACTATTTTGCTAGCATTGCTACAAATACAATATTGATGAATAGGGGACAAACAAAGTTCAAAGGGCAGTGAAAAGGTCACAATTCCATTCACACCCATCCTATCATGGGACAACGGATTTCTGGACTGATGTCAGAAACTCCCGGCATAGCATTGCTGCAATATCCATAACATTTGTCTACTCAACCACACTCAATAAAGCTTCATTCCCCATTGATACTGAATGTATGAATCCTTCTCCATCCAATAACATTTAAGATCACATCTTTATGTATAGCCTCTTAACCACATATGTTTTTTTAATAGGTCAAAACTTTCTTATAAAGAAGGGGGAATGTATAATATAGCAATTAGAAAAGTAAATCAAGTCAATGTGACGACCAGGAAAAGCTCATACTACACATATAAAGGAAGAAACATCGGACTTCACAAACATACCTCCAACTCTGATGCTGAATTGAATTCATCAAAATTTAGTGGCTTCTCCGAATCACCATTGCCTACATTAACTATCTCATTAGACACAGGTTTTGATATGGAGAAACCATTGGGTTCAGCAATAACTGGTCTGCTTTCAATAACCCCCCTCTTTCCAGAATCTGAAGCATTTGGACATTGAGAATTAGGTCCAACATTCTCCTGCTTTTCAGCCTCAAGTGCTTCAGTTTCAAAAACCTCTTCAGTCTTCGCTACTGTTTCCTCAAGAATCTGTGCTTCAACCACTTCATCCTCTTTTTTCAGAGCAATTTCTCCACAGGGATTAGATATCAAGTTTTGTTCTGCACAGGCCTCCTTTTCTTCTTCAGAGCCACTGCCACAAGAAGCACCACCAGAATATTCACCATCTTGATTTCCAGTAACCGAATCTTGACTCCCCTCGGCTTTGTTATTTGAATCTGAATGATTCCCATTATTTAAAACAACAGATTTCTCATTTTCCTCGTCACTGTCATCATCACTACTATCTTCATCCATTCCTTCACTTTCACCCAATTTTCTCTTCCCCGTCCTTGCAACAACAAAAAAATCTCAATCATAAGAAATTCAAAGCACACGTCACATGAAAGAGAGGAAAGATGCAGAATATGACTAGGAAAATCATGTAAAATAGTGTAAGAAAGTCAAGACAATCTCAAGCAAACATGTTTCATTTTCATTCTGATGCACATAAACAACGCTAGCCATACACATCTATGCATTTTTCACAACTCAC